CAGTCTTATAGAGTGACTCACATATTTAAGCTACAGCCTGGGTTCTGCTGCTTTATTTCCAAAAGTCTCTTCTCCAGTTTTTCTGCCACGGAGCTGAGCTGTGAAGCCCTCAGCATCTGTGGCAGTTTTCTCAGCTGATCCTCTGGAGCCTGGGCCAGCCACGCTCTGATCTGATTCAGGAGAGGACCTCTCTGTTTGGGGACTGCCTTCTCAATGTACCTGTTCAGGGAGATGATGGTTCAGTAGGGTCTATGTATTAAGTGAATTAAGATGTGAAAGGAGTAGCTGAAAAGGGGCAAGAAAAAGAAGGAAGTGGGCTCACCTGCTGACAAATTTCCTCATTTTTGACACACGCATCCTGTTCATTCCGAAGACTCCTGAGAGGAACGTCCTGAGCGCCTCACCTGAGAAACAAAGTTGAGTTTGAAGCTGTTTCTTTTTTTACGATATTACCTTGCTGACTCCAAATTATGTCATAAACATTATACATGTGAGTTGGAAATTAAGTTACACACCTCCATTTGCAAGCTCCTCGCATGTGCCACACACCTTGTCCTGGTAAATTGAATCGGGGAGGAGCGCAATCTGTCCGCTTGCGCATTCCCGATATTTTACGCACGTTTCCAGCGCAGAGGATGAGTTGGAGAAGAAGCCGTAGGAACACGATTCACAAACAGTGTCCTCTTGTAACGTACCTATAATAACACGAATGCATTTGGGGTCATTGCGATGTTTGAAGCTAGGGCTCCAGAAAGACCAAGTGATCGTGTACCGTTTCTATGCAGTGATTTCTAATTCAGTCTACTGCCCAACTGTTTCAGGCTGCTACTCTATAATATTGAGTGACTGATGCATTATTCTTTGGATTATTGTATTTCTTTACTTCTAAAGATTCACAAATATGTACAAGAACATTGATGATGTGCATTCTGGTGAAATGTAACCAATCACACTGAATCAGAATATAGAAATTAGTAAGTGAGAAAAATATCAACATTTTTAAAACATCATACAAACATATCTTTAGAAACTATCTTTCCTCAGATACATACCCTTCGTTTGAACACCTTGTCCGGGCTCGCACTCGGAGTGTCTCATACAGAAGTCATTAGTCCAGTAAAAGCCTTCTTTGCACCGACAGACCCTGTTGCTGACCGCGGAGCACTCCGTTTCCACCTCCTGGTTCTCGGTGCAGAAGTTGGCGCAGTACAGGCATCTGGGCAGGTAGTTCCACAGCTCGGTGAAGTGGTGGCTTTTGCACGGCGCGCACTGGGTGGGCGTGGTGGCGGTGCACTGCGCAGTCATGTGAGTGCCTGGTGGACACTTGTCACAGGTGAGACTATCCCCATTGAACGGGTTTCGGTACTCAAAGGTGGGGACGGATCCTCCCGCCGAGGAACCACAGAACAAGAACAGCAACGGAAAGAGGAGCTGAGGAGCGGAAGAGGAGGTGGTTACTGTTCCTGTAATTACTTCTACTACCAGTACTACTAATAGTACTACTACCACTACCACTACTACTACCACCACCACCACTACTACTACTACTACTACTGCTACTACTACTACTACTACCACCACTACTACTACTACTACTACTACTACTACTACCACCACTATCACTACTGAAACTACCACCACTACTACTACTACTACTACCACCACTACTACTAGCACTACCACTACTCAACTAAACCATTGTATCACATAGCACAGTTGATCAGCTGGGTCAGACTTTGTTTGTCCAGTCACTGTCCACACCTTTATTGTCTGAATGACAGCAATGTAATGAAATTAAGGAACAAGTATACTGGAAAAGTACCATTTTTTAAAATTATTTATTGGAAACTGCCTAGATCTCCATCACTGTAACTGATTATTTGCTATCTGAGGCAGACAGACTTTGACAGCAGCAGCATTTGTCTTATACTTGCTGTTGCTACGGTTAACAACTGTTATCAGTTTTTTACTTCCCACAGTGACTGTTCAGTGGCCACTAGAGACCCAAATATTTCATTGTCTTCACATCTCAGTATTCACTTGCAGCCAAAGAATAGATCTGTATTTGTTAAACACAGTCCCCTGAACCACAGACTCTTTTCTTCTTCTTATTGTTCTCATTATAAATTTACATAAAAAGTTGATTGAATAATATTGTTCAAAATCTTGCCAGCCTCTCTATTTGATTATAATATATATATATATATATATTTTTTTTAAATCAAACATCAATCACTAAGCATCACATCTGTCTCTGTCTTTAACACAGAATACTGTCATACAGATCACTCACCATGCTGATGATGGGCATGTTGTCAGTCACTTCAGTCAAAGAGGGTTTGACAGTGGGATCAGGTTCATTTTTATACAGTTCATACAGGAACTGTTTTTTCTGTGTGGGCGTTTGTGGTTGTCGATAATAATTTAAAGCTTCTATTCAAAAGGTCAAATAATTTCCAGCTCCTACATCCAGACATAGAGAGAAGCTGAGGTTTTGGCCCAGATGATTAAGTGGTGGAGATTTTCTAGGAAGTTGAGGTTGATGGTTACGTGTGAATAAACAACAAAGCAACAGGTTAATCACTTAATTATATCCACTTCAGTAATATTGAATTAGGCCAGCTGTTTCCAGTTTCCTCTGGTCTGTGGGAAGAAACTGATTTCCACTCCACTCAAACAGATTCTTATTTACTACTTAGGGGACTAATATGCAAACTACCTAAACGTAACACATTTCATCCTCTTGCTCTCTCTCCTGACACTTCCTGTCCTGCTCTACTGAGTACTGTCAAGTAAAGGGAAAGAGTTTGAAAAATAAGAAACCCAAAATCAGTATGAGGTCTGTGATAATGTTGTTTACATTTCCCTTCATGTGTTTTCTTTTGGTAATACTGATCATTTTCCTTTGCCTATGTTAAGCTTTTATAAATGAAAAGCTTATACAAAAAACACTGGAAAAAACTTTTTTGTCTGGCTTATGCATAATAATTTAGCTACATGCAATTTATTTGAATCCATAGGAGTCTTCCATGCTACAGTTATGTATTACAGCTCATGACGCAGAGGTTGTGAAACAATTAAATGAAAAAAAAAAAACATTTTTGGGAAATATCTTTACACAACCACTTGAAAATGACATTCTAAAATTTCCATTGATCAAAGTGCTCTTTATTGACATTTAATATAACATTTTCTGATTTCCTCTTAGGTGGTTGTTGTGACAGTCTAATATATATACGTCAGCGAGACTATAAAGTCACTTTTTTCCGGTAAAAGAATTTCAGTGAGTCACTTAATATGTGCAGAATGACAGTGTGCTGATTAAGCAAAATGAAGTGAATTCTTTTAAAATACGATGATGAGTCAAAAAAGAACCTACATGTCTCTCATTTCCTCCTCTTTCCACAGAATATGAGAACATAATTCAATCATTTCAGGGTATTTTTATAATTCACAGAGATACTGTTTGAAATGTTTCAATACTGGTGTTCTGAACAATGAGTTTTACAACCAATGGCCAAACAAACATTTGATACTTCACATTAAGGAATATAAAAATGTTTTCCTTTTAAACTCTTTTCTCTAAGAAAAAAATCCAAACTTCCCAGATGCATCAGGACTTAGTTTCACATCGCCTTAACTGAAAGCAGCTGCACAAGAACTTTGCCTGAATAAAGTGTACATGCGTATGTACTAACAAAAATATGATTTAAATCAAGAAATACAGTGGCTTCAAAATTTTGCCCATCAGTCCACATCCAACATGTTTTCAAAACTGAAATCTCTCATTTACAAAAGTATTGACACCCTTAATTCAGTATTTTGCAGATGCCACGTTAATTTGTCAGCAATTATTAAATTCATTTTGATTAATTAATAATTTAATTAATTTTATTAAATTACTGACAAATAAAATAAATAAATGCCAAATAAATGAATAGATACAGTTTCTTCTTTGGTAAGTCTCTACAAGCTTTGCTCACCTGGATTTGGGCAGTTTGTCTAATTTTTCTTGGCAGATCCTCTCAAGCTCAGACAGATTGGATGCGAAGTGTCTGTGAGTCACCATCTTATGGTCTCTGCACAGATGTTCTGGGCTGTGGCTGGACCTCTCAAGCAAAGTCGGAGACTTGTCCTGCAGCTTCTCCAACACTGAGTAGTGGTATTCTTTTGGACGTTGTCCTGTTGAAAAGTGAACCATCGCTGCTGTCTCATCTCAGGTTGTTTACACTCTGCAGCACGTTTTCTTCAAGGACCTCTCTGTGTTTGGCCTCATTCATGCTTCCTCAATTCGGACTTCCTCAATTCTGATGCTTCTTGGCAGCAGGGTCTTCCTGTCCCTGGAATATGCACACTGACATGTTGCCAAAGTTGTACCAGTGTAAGGTCAAGTGGCAAGAAATAACATAAGATGCACTGTAATGGAGAATTTTATTCATTCGGCTCAGCCCTAATGTGAAACAAACGTTTAGTTGAATGTTTAATGTAATATGTATGCTTGGAAGTGTTTTAAATCGATTGGTACACCCATGTTTAGTTATGAAAAGTTCATGTTTATATTCTGGCCAGACAAGAAAAGAGTCTGAAAATCTGTTTCTAACTTAATTTATCTTGTGGGTCACTTTGAACAACATGATGGATGTAATTTTTTCTTTTACATAATACAAACATTAAAATTTAATACGTCTCAGTGTTTCAAACCGTGCAGAGTGCACAACACATCTCCCTGGCAACAACCTGTTAACATCTCTTTGCTGCAGCCCGGGATGTATGCCATTAAACTGCCTGTGAGTGTAACTCAGCTGCATACTCATGACGCATGTGAAGAGTCGAGCCTTTGATCCGGATCAGCAGGTCGGCTCCCAGTCGCCATCGGAGGAGGAAACTAAAATGCCCAACAATTGATTCATCAGTAACTTATTCAGAAATGTTCAGACAAATGTGTCTTTTCAAAAAACAAAGTGGTTACACATAGAAGTGTTTAGTAAAGTGGACAAAGATTTATTAGCTCCTGACCAGTGGCTGGCGGTAATGAGTCCTGTTAGCTAATATTGTTTACAACATTAAAAGACAAAAGCAAAACATTAAAGAAAGAAATTGAACCTGTTTAGTTTTTCTGTTCAATCACAGCAGAAAAGACCAAAGTCGACCATTCATCTGTCTGCCAGTTACTTATTTATGAAGACAATGCATTTTTACAAACTGATTTTAATCAGACGTGAGTGTTCGCAAGTTACACGAGCTTAAAGAGGACCAGTCAAGCATATATACAATAAAGATAATACACTTAATAATATAAAAGTAATAAAACAAAATATAAAACAAATATCACCTCATGAACTTGCAGCATTTGGAATCCAGTATTTCTGATGAAGTAATAAAAACAAGCCTTTACATATTCAGAAAGTAAAACTATTTTTTTTAAATAGAAAACAATTGCACTCCTTTGTACATTCATAAAGCTGACAATTTATATATATATATATATATATAAAAAAAAAAAAAATCAGATGAGCTTTACTTGCCAGCAGTCCAGAGCAAACCAACAAACAAAAGGAAAACTGTAGAAAATACATGTATTTCATTATGAAACCAAATCCTTCCTCTCAAACAGCGAGAAAGCAACAACAATAACAACACAACATCTGCCAGCCCATCTTCCATAAAATAGTGTGCTATTTACATCTTAAATATTTTCTCTTTTTTTCACAGACTCCGGTCAAAAAGTTTCCAGGAAACATTTTTTTTTTTTTAACTTTTTGTTTAGGTCTGCCTGGAGTACACAGATGTGTGATAGTGTTTTTCTTTATTTTAAGGCTTATCAGATTCATTACTGCAGACAGGTACTGTACACTCGGGGTGAAGTTATGAGCTTCCCTTATTACATCATATAATCAAAACCTTCTTACTCTGGCGTAGAAAAATCAGAGACAGGAAGAAGAATTTATCTTCCCATCTTGCCTTTATGACAAAATACCTCTAGGCTCCATGTGCATAGCTTGATACCATTTGGTGATATCTTAAAGACCTGACATTATCATGTGGCCCCTGTCTGTTACTCTTTCACATACATTTATCCCCCTGTTCACTTCGTCTTTACGCGTTTGTGTGTCGACTTTTTGACAATGTATTAGTGTCTTTCCGATTTGTACCTCCCATTTCCTTATTCATTTAATGGCTTATGAGCCTTAAAACACAACTCATCCTGAAGCATATTGACAAACATCTTCTCATACATCTTGTGTGTGGAGGTTGCTCCTATGATGCGGCTGATCTTCTTCAGGCCTTTCAGCAGATAGCGTGGCGCCCCCTGGCTGCGCAGCACCCTCAGACTGTGAGACAGACCTTTGGCTAGATCCAGCTCGTAGTTTGCTGTCTTCCAGAGGTGAAGAAGCTCCAGGATGTACTGTCTGGGCAGGCAGGTGGAGACCACGGCCCGGATGTCCTCCTGCTTTACTTTCACCCCTGGCAGGCTGTGGGTGACCTTCAGGAGGTCATCCAGGGTCAGGTTCTTCAGGCCGTTGCAGCGGGAGACCTTCCTCTCACAGTGATTCACACCTGGAGGGACGGGATACAAAAACATTAATACACAATTGCAGGGTTTGAAATAAGAATTGGCTAAAACTATAAAGTGCAGATTTTGTTTGTACCTTGAATGATGCCGTACAGCTTGTCCTGGTCTTTGTTCTGCTCCTTCCACAGTCGCAGCAGGTGGTGGACCTGCTGCTGAGGAGAGCAGGCCTTCTTCAGCCTCTCCAGGCTCTTACGATCCACCCTGCGCCCCGGAAGACTCTCCATCAGTCGCTCCAGGGGCACCGAGGACAGTCGCAGCGAGGCTAGATTCTGGAAGACTGCCTCCTCACACAGGGTCACATCTTTAAAAACAGTTTTAGATTTTTACATTATTATAACATTAAATGAAATATGATAATGCAGATAGACATAGTCCATGAAATAAATTATCAAACAAACTGGTGGAGCTGTAGGACTTCTGAAAGCTTAAAGCAAGAGGAAATCTCAAGAGCAATCTTACAAATAAAAAGTTATCAGTCCAGCGCACGCTGAGGTTTTGCTGCATCAGTCGTACTTGTTGTGGTATGACCAGTAGCTCATGGTGGCATATGTTAGCTAATGAAAGCAAACTTTAAATAGATATTGCTGCATAACTGACCCTACTGAGTCAGTTCACTGATGTAATAACACTTTTACCACTTACCAGCATTGGTCATTTGTGCCCACAGTGAGTGCAAAAACTATATAGTCTCACTTAAATCCTCTGACTGTGGCTTTATTACATGAGGATGAGAGGGAAATGGGGATGAAGAGGTAAATGTGCTCTTGAGGTTTTTTTCAGCAAATTCAATTATAAGCTTAGTGGGTGGTAGCTTCACATTATGCAAGTGAACTCGTGACCAGTTCTGCTCAAATTCATTCTCCACAGAGGATTCATTCATGGGACACAGGTGACATTCAGACTAGATTCTGATTGTGTGGTTTGGTCTCCAGGTCCCATCAGCCTGTTATATATCTGGATTTGTTTATGTGTGTTTGCGTGTGTGTGTGTGTAGAGTGTTGACTTGTTATGTGACCACAACAGAAACAAGGATTTCCTCTTTCTGTTCCCCATTGACGGCACAGAACCACTATTGACATGAGTGTGACCAGCGAAACCAAACTGAGCCTGCCTGTGTTCCTCTGCACCAAAGTGATTAGAGCTGCATAACCTACTGAAGTGAACTGATTTGAGCTGTCATGAAATGTGCTGCACTATCCTGCCGGGTTGCACCAGACATACGCCTATCGTATTTCATCAGTATGTGTCACACATTTCTGCAAGCCAAGATCTCACAAGCTTTCCTTATAAGGTAGAAGCATTTTTGTGAAGAGTAGCATTTTCTTTTCTTTTCTCTTCTCTTTTTTTGAAATCAGAGAAACCTTAGCCGTACCTGCTCCCATTACAGACAATCTGACACCAGTTCTATATCCAGGGCAGCCAAATCTGAAGATCATATGATTGCGACTGTCGTATAAGTGCAAAACATTTCTGCATTCATGTAGGTGTGAAAATATTTTCTGATTGACTTGCAAAAGCACGAGGGACACCAGCAAACATGAAAAAAATGTGAATTGAAACCGAGGTTGGTGTAGTATGATTGAGTTTAATGTTAGGAGGATATTAGTCTTGTTTCTCTGATGTCTGGATGTTGTAAGTGTGGTTTGGTCTATAATTGACGTTGACATCCCCGTGGTTATAACAAAATCACGTAGCTTTGGGAATCCCAACTGTTCCAGGATTTGCTGCAGGCAGCCTGTGGTTGTGTAGTTAACAGGAAGACAATTTGTGGATGAATGTATGATGAGAGCATCACCCTCCCAGAGGGACACCAGTGTGTGCTGCACAGTATGCATGAGTGAGCCCGGGTCTGTGCATCTGCATGTGTGTTCCTCGGTGACTGTGGTTTCTCAGCTCCTGGGAAGTCAGTGTCATATCTGAAGCTTGTCCTCAAAAATGAATTGTCAGCGGCTGTCATAGTTAAAGTCTGAGTAACAAAGACTAGCCAGCTCGTCTCTCATCTCATTTCGCCTTGACTCAGTTTCCTCTGTTATTGCAGCTTGAGGATGTGATAGTTAAAAAAGTAATTGACCCATCATGGGTCATTATGACATTAGTGCTTCAAACACCCCATTCAACCCTTTACTTTGGCTTTTCGCTCTTGTGTTGGTTTTCAGGCACGCAAGAATTTGGAAAAGAATGGAATCTGGACGATAAACCTGACCGAGGAAATTCCCTGCATTCAGGAATGAAAATGACCACATGTCTGACATAATTCTCTTCTGGTTGATTTTAAATTGTTGACAATTGAGGTTTACTCAAAATCATAATCACGTGTGTGCGTGCGTGTGTGTGTGCATGCGTGTGTGTGCGTGTGTGTGTATGTGTTGTGCACACACTGTACAAATGATATCTACCCTGATTCCAGCCTGCTTTTGAAAACGTATTAGAGATTGAGTCTCACTGCAGCAAGTATAGTGTGTTCTCACCAGTGTGGCACAAAGTGTGATGCTGAGAGCACTCCAGTGTTGCCGTCTTGTCCTGACATTGGCTGTCTGAAGTGGACGTGCCCCATCTCAGTGTCTTGTGGCCCAAATCAGAGCAGTTTGTGTGCGGTTGACACGGCTCGGTGGAGGAGCCGCCGGTGGAGAAATGACCAGCGGGACATTGCTCACAAACAGTGTCACTCACGGGTGTACCTGGCGGAGATACACACAGTATGTTGGTATATTAATTTTATGAATGAAAACATTATTCTGAGAGAGTTTATACAGTTAAAACACAATGTGTAATTTTAAACTGTGAGAAAACACACAATTGCAAATTTTTCTGATTTTTACTATCATCAGTTTCATCTTACACATCAAAGCATTTTTCAGCGTGAACATGATGTGCACAGTTTAGCTAATGAACCAAGGCGATGTGTTCCAAGAACTAAAACCACAGCGACATGTGACAACCCATCATGAAGACAAATGACTGTGTGATTATGAGAATGACTCACACTGGTCTTATTCACTACACACAAAACTTCCTCAGTTTCTATATCTATATTTAATTTTCACACTTTTCACACCCATTTTCACATTTCAAACACACTGTTTTAGCTAGAATATTATGTGCAATACTTCATATTATATGTATAATTTTATCAAAATATAAATGCATTAAAAAGTATGACAATAAAATGTCAATCTAAATTGACTGAGAGGAAAGAAATGTGCAATAATATTATCACATTATAAAATATGTAATAATAAAGTAATAATATAATTTGCAAATAATATCTGAAACAAATTATCAATCATATCACTCATTATGTACCTTTCATTATTGATTTATGTGTTTATTTCACCATAACTAGATGTAATAATGTGACCTACTTATCTAACCCAGGAAAAAATGACACCTTGCAACATTTTAACAAATCTACAGTGATACTATATTATGTTATTCAGAAGTTACCATGACACCTTTACAGTAAACCACGATAGCTTCTGGTACATGACCCAAGGCACACATGACGATATGACAGCCGGTTTATGGCTCACATCCTCATTTTTATTCTTATTGCTGAAGTATAGAAGTGAAAGCCTTGTGGGAGGATGAGCTACGCCTATATCAGATTTAACCTTTAACTAATTTCCCGCTATCAGGGCACAATGTGCTCTTTCTTGAAAACATTTCACCATTTAGCTTTAATGCATGAAACCACCAGCTGATATGCATAAAGCAAACTGCAAACTGCATATTTCCTGCACCACTGATGACAAAGCATGTACAATACAGGTCTGAGAATGTGTTAGCGTATATGCAATATGGTTTCATATGCTAGCGTGAGTCTTTTTTTTTGTTTTGTTTTTTTTAAGAATTTCCGCTGTCAGTGCAAAATCAGCTCGTTAGCACTTCACCATCATAAGAAATAGGTTTGGATGTATTTTAAAGCAGTTGCACTAGCTGTACTGTCTACACAATGAGGGGTATATTAATTAACTAAACTGACTGCAATCAAATGCATATTTAAAAAAAACATCTAAACATAAAGAAGAGCTGAAAGTCAGTTAGTCAATTAATTAATTACTTTAATTAGACTGAGAAAAATTATTTAGCAACTAATCAGTGTCTCAGCTGTAGTGACTTGCTTTGTTTTTCCATCTTATGAAATATTAAACCTTATAATAGCTTGATGAATCTGGTATCCCTGGTCAAATTGTACCTACTTATAGCATTTTCTTATTATCTGTCATTTTTTCAATCTGTTGTCTAATTTATTTTCATATTATTATGTGTTTTAGACTTTTTTTTTAAATCTGTTTTTGCATTGTTTTGTCTGCCAACTTTTTATGCTGTTGTTTAAGCCAGGTCAAAACAGGTTTCTAACCTCAATGGGACTTACCTGGTTAAGTAAAAATGTAATATATAAAAACAAATTTAAAAAATATATTTCGATTTCTCTGACAAATCAAGCTCTTTGATGTCATTACAGGGCATTACAGACCAAACAGTCAATCAGTCAAGAAAATAACCACAAGATGAATCAATAGTAACTGTTGCAGGCCTCATAATAAAGGAAAGACATTACATGTATTATTTAATTCCATAAATTATTGTTTCTTTCTTATATACCGTGTTCCCCTGTGTCTTTCCTAGCTGCTACTGCTCAATAAACTCAGTTTCCAAAAACACAGTTAAACCAGCTAGAAAGACTTAAAAATCCAAAAAGAGACAGAATCAAAACTAGAAACTGCCAAACCAGTAGATCAAGGACTGGAGTCATGAAAGGCATGTGTTGTCGGGAGACTGAACCATGGGTTTTCTAACATCCTGTGGTTTAAAGGTTTGAACCGCAACTCAAGGCATTACATAATAAGTCCTTCAGCTTCAAAAAGGGGAATCCCCTGAACTGCTGTCTCATGTCTGCAGTTTCAGTACTTTTCAAGTCCAATCATAGACCGATGTTAGAGGAATTTATGGGAAATGTTGTGTCATCTTTGAGCAGTGTCAGCGCTACAGGGGTCACATAATAACCAGCATCCATGGAAATATGTTGCTTCGTCTATGCAGATTTTGGTCTCAGGTCTAAGATGAAGTCATGAGAAGAGCGGTGCCAGTTCGTGCTGTGATTCCAGTTGAAATATCAGATTCTGTTCACTGGAATGTTGGAATTCAGCAACAGCCTGTCTTTATGTTGCCCACAATCACTAGTGACGCACGCAGGAGAAAATCTGCAAGGAATATCAGGTCAAATATATCCACCATGATAATGACATCCTTGGTTGCGCCTGGTTTAATAACTAGCTAAGATTGCATTTTGTGCTGTATTGTGAGGGAAAATGGAAAAAAAAAAAAATGTAATGACTGACACTGATGTTGACACCACAACAGATGCAGATGTGGCAAGAATCCTTTGGAATGACCTGGTTTTCTGCATGAATTAGTCATAAAATGTGATCCGATCATCATCTTAGTCACAAATGTACAGAAGCAGTGTCACCAAGCTAATATCACACAATCAATCCAAATCTTTTGAGTCTTTACTGAACACAACATTCACAGTGCTGGTGGAAAAAGTAAGTGAGCCCTTGGATTTGAAAACTGGTCAAACCTCTTTTGGCAGCAATAATCACAAACCTGCACAATGTTCAGGAGGGATTTTTGGACTGTTCTTCCTATAGAGCTGTTTCAGCTCAGTTATTTTCTTAGGATGTCTGGTGTGAGCAGCTCTCTTCAGGTCATTCCACAGCATCTACACTGAATTCAGGTCTGAGCTCTGACTGGGCCACTCCAAATGGTGGACTTTCATTCTCCAGTGGATTTAATTTCATGCTTATGGTCACTGTCCTCTGGCATCACCCAACTTCTACTGACCTTCAGCAGGGGGACAGCCACCCTGAAGATGTCCTGTAAGACACCTTAATAAACGTGGAAATTCATATTCTCCTTGATGACGGGGAGCTGTTTAGGCCTAAATCATGATGCTCCCTCGATCCTACCTCACCTTTGGGATGATATTTTCGTGTTAGTATGTAATGCCTTTCTATACCATGAAGCTGCATGTTCTTCCCAAACAAGTCAGCCTTAGTTTCATCAGTCTGTAAAACACTTTCCCAGTAGTGTTGTGGAGTGTCAAGCTGCTCTTTGGCAAACCTCAGGGGCACAGTAATGTTTTTTTTTTTTGGCTACATCTGTGGTGTCCATGGCAGGACAACATGCTCCATACAACCATGCACCATAATTTGGATATGGTAGACTAATGAAGAGAGATGTTAACCAGCTCCAATAATTATTGGAGCTGGTACCATGGAGTTATTTTAGCTGGACGTACACTTCTAGGGAGAGTAGCCACATTTCCATTTATAGACCCATTGTCTGACTGTGGCCTGATGACTATCTAAAGATCTGAGATGACTCTGTAACCCTCTCAGCTTTATGCAAATCATCAGTTCTTGATCATAAGTCTTCTGATGTCTTTGTTGTGAGGACTGGTTCACATCAGCAGTTTCTTGTGAAGACCAAACTCAAAATGTCAAAGTGTCTTTAACCCACACATCAAATCTTGTTTCATTGATTAGATTCTAGGTTTGATAACTCCTGACTCCATTCAACTTTTGTTGATGCCATTAGCCGAGGGGTTCACATAAGACAAAAGTCTACCCTGTGAGTGTTTGAGTAATGTTTTCAATATGGACAAAGACAATACAAAGATTTATGTGCTATTTGTTAAAATTGATTTTGTTTATAATTGTAACTTGATTGCGGATCAAACGAAGGTCGATTTATACATGAACAGAGTTCATTCCAAAGGGTTCACTTACTTTGTCTTTCCACTGTAATTGAGTTCTGAAGTGATGGTCTGCTGCTGTTTCAGATCTTAATAAGAATTTGTTCACACAATGACTTCAAAGAAATCTCTATGGTAGACAGTATATATGAGTCTGTTCAGGTTGAACCTGGTTTCAGAGAAATCTAAGAGGAAGCTCAGCTTCAGTAATGTAGGGGAAAGGTAATGCCATTTAATTGAGACAAAACAAACTGATCAGTGTCTTTAACATTTCCTCTTTAATTATGCTGTAAAATATGCATAATGATGTACAAAGAGGAACAAGTGATAAAGCACTTTGGAGGAAATGTCATTTTCTCTTGCTGATTTTAAAACAGCTGGAGATAAGACAGACCAGTCATCCTTTTTAACTGACAGATACTGTATATAACATCATAATCAAATACCTCTACAGTATATCACCATCACTGTTATAAACACCTGCTGGTACTCCTGCAGACAGGAACAGGAAGATAAGCTAAACATTTTTACAATTTTAGGATTGATTTTGGCTTTGTTTAATGCTGACAACTGCTGCAGAACATTTTGACAGTAAAGTATTATCTCAGGTAGAAGCCACAAAAGATATTAGGATCAACAGATTCATGTCAAATGTGAAGGGTGCTCACATTACTAATATGTAACTGAAGAATATTTAAAGCTTCAATAAAAACAAACATGAATTAGTCAACTTCCTTAATTCAGATAAACTCCCCCTAAATTAATCAAAACTGAGAGATAAAAGCCACGTACATACGGAGCTGTGAGGAAGTAAGGCCTGGACTTCATGGAAAATCACATTAAATCATTCAGATTCATTTGACACAAATTGCACACAGGTAAAATAAATTAAATATTAATCTCCCATATGATTGTATCCCATGACTGCATGGGATACAATCATATGGGAGATGGGATGCATTATCTTTTTGTCTTTGGACCAAGATCCAGAAGAAAGTGACAAAGAGAAAGTGACATTGTGGCCATACAACATAAAAGACAAAGTGTATATGCGATTTCGGTTGTGTGTGTGTGTGTGTGTGTGTGTGTGTGTGTGTGTGTGTGTGTGTGCTAATAAAAGAAAGAAAGAATTTCAACAGACAGACAAAGAGCCAGAGTCAAGCTTGGAAAAGAGATGTCTGCATCTGGAACACATCTGATTCACAGACGGAGAGGATGGCGAAAGAGACAGAGGGGCTTCCAGTGATAGGAGGAGACAGGGCAGCTCAATGTGAAAGAGTGATCTCTAACTGATGTGTGTCTTTGCATTGGCAGCGTGAGGGTTCCTTCCAGACATGCCGGTCCAGCATATTTGGAATTGAATTGATTTGAGAGAGTGGAAGAGTAAAGCAGTCGAGAAGATTAAAGGAAAGTCAAAATAAACAACTTTGGGTTTCTACTGAAAATACTATAAACGTATACACTACATACTGAACTGTATATAGATGCGTACACATGGTCACACTCATACTCACAGATCCACATGTATCCCCATAAACACACACACACGGACTGCACTTTTCTCACATTAAAGAGCTGAACTAAACTGAACTAAAGCAGTTGAGGCTGTCTGCTGACTGAATTCCTAATTTTCTCTGGTGAAGTACAGATACCTACTGTTATTCATTGGTTTTCTGATTCAAATCTAATTTATACGCTGAACGGATGGACAGAAAACCCACAATATAACTGAGTGTCTCCTTTATTAGATATACTGTATGTAAAACAAAAGCAATCTGCCATCACAAGTGACTTTACATAATAATAATAATAATAATCTTAATGTTCATCTGAGTCTTACCTAAAGCTGTCACTCCGTAGCCAGGTGGACAGGTGCTGTGTGTGATGCAGAACTCCACCACTAGGTGGAAACCTGGAGCACACTCACACAGCTGGTCATGGGTGCTGTTACAGTTCTGCTTCACTAACTGCTTCTCTTTACACACCTGAGGACAGCAAACACAGAGGGGCACCGTCAGACGCTACAAACCTACTGACACTGATGGGTGCTGCTACATTTACACAAGAGCATACAGAGGAGCACATTATTGATATGTACATATGTGCACAGGAAACATGGTAATGTAAGACGAAAAACAGGTTATGGTGAGTATAACGGTGCTGCTTCACAAGCTGCCTCCTCCTCTGTCTTTCAGGGAGATCAAAATATTTAAAAGAGTAACTGGTTGAAATAAACATTTAACAAATCTCAGTATCATTTAGAAAATAATTTTCTTCTTTGGAAAAAGTCTGATATCGAAATTCTGATTGATATGCTTCAATAGTGACACCTGCAGGGCAGGACAGGGGAGAGAGCAGTCTGTGAAGTGATGGTGGGGGACAGAGGAGGATAGACTCCTGCTGTCCCCCTTATGGAAGTATTTCTTATATTAATTTAATGTAATTATTCTTTTATGCTAATCTGTGATTGGCCAAAACACGTAAAATAATGCTCCAACAGAGGACGTCCTCCCTAACCAGTCCACAACCAGAATTTCTCTACCACTGTATTTTATGTGATTGTGACAAACTGGTGGTGAAGTGATAGATTCATACAGAAGTAGCATCTTAGAAAATAAATTATAACAGGTCCATTGCAAAACACGTAACTTGAATATACAATTATTTAGAGTCCAAAATTCCCTTGTTCAGATTTCCCTTTCTCTTTTTTATCAAGTAGTAGCAATAGCTACTTGTGTTAACCAATGCAACAGTTAGCTTGTAGTAGCAGCTCTGAAGATTTGGACTGTGGGGCGTGGCAGTGGCAGAACACCGCCAGGGAGGGGATGGAGAGCTCCGCACTGATGTTGCAGCCTCAGGCCTTGCTGCTTCGCTGGAGACGTGTGGTGGCTCGACAACATGCTGCTGCACTCTGCTCCCTGGATCCCAGTAAGGGTGACGGACTGCTGCACAGGCTGCGCGGCGTGGAGGATGTTCAAGTGAGTCAAGTGAGTCTTACATGATCCAAAGAAGCCAGCCAGCCTTTATCTCTGTCTTGCTCTTGATAGACCGGACGCAACAACCGGCCTCACAGCAGCTATAAGGATAATCTCCCAACATGTAAAGCGGAGTGGAAACCTCCCACAGACTGAAGGACTCCTAACACACTTCATTATTGCTTTGTTTTTAACAATTCCAGATTTTAATGATTATGTTTTTCCCTTTTAATTTAGGGTGTTGTGTAAAATTCCCACTTTAACGTATTGGGTGCTGCATCACCCCATGTTGGACTGACAGGCTTCTGGTGATACATTAGGCACACTACACCCGGTTCATTCAAATCCAGAGTCCACAGTGATTGTTCTTAAGAAATCTTGCAAACCATTGTTTTACTGCTTACTTTTTACTTAAGCCAACTAGCGTAAAATAACATGACACTGTGGGTTGGTTTTCCTCATGTCCTCCCCAATTTTTTGAGCCCCCAGCTGCCACTGAGATACATATAGTATCTTAAAAAATGATAGCACACTAGCACAGGAATATAAAAACACCTCAAGGAGACCATAACAATAGTGGCCGTATTACATAATTTATCCAGAGTGGCAGAGAGGAAAACATCTAAACTCTGGGGGAAGATCACTCCACCACAATGAGCACATTCAGACTTTACTTTTAGAAACAACAACTGAAGTGGAAACGCTGGTTTCAAAAAATGACAGATGCTGTACCAAAATGTAAACAAACAGTATGGTCATGCATTTAAGGAAAAGACACCAGAAAAACCACAAAGGAGTAGCATAAAGGACAAGCCGTAGGAAGAAAACATTAACTTTAGCAGAGTTCCTGACCATGATATGCTGCAAGTTCAGATTTGGCTGATTCACTCAAGTGTGAGTAGATACACAATGGAGATACAGAAACTGGTGTTTTCTCATGAGAACTACAGTCACACCGCTTAAAGTGCACAGGGCCTCAATCAGAAATGCAGCTTAGGGGCCTGTTAAGATGAAAAACAGAGAATTAAATATCAAGATGATGTGTAAACATTTTGGTCCTTATACATACCGAGGTGCAGTATTGGCACGTATCGCCCCAGTGCCAGTTCTCAGCAAAATGCCTCTCAGGACAGGGCTGACACTCTGTGGGTGTGTCAGCGGTGCAGTGTTGCTTCACGGCTGTGCCAGGAGGGCACTGGTCACACAGAAGGAGGTCAGATGTCACAGGGTCGCGATACTGGTACTTTGGCGGTATGGCCTGCTGCTGGAAGGCCCAGGACAGAGAAGCTGTGAAGAGCTGTAACAGAGGGAAAGTAGCACTGAGTCAACAGCAGTGACAAAGTCTCTAATAAAAACCCGTCTCGTGCACAGCTCCTCTTTGGCTAAAGGTTCAGATATTTTTATATTTTGGAGCACTCGCCAACCCAAAGCTTCCAGTAAGTAAGAGTTGAAAGAAAGGTCAGCGCTGTAAAGTTGAAGCTCCTGGTGGACACGCAGTGCTAAAGTGATTTCCTCTGCTTTAGAGAGTGAAGTTCAGTGAGTCGTGGGAGAAATTCAGAAGCAGTTTCATGGACACAGATTACTGCACAGGACCAACCTTTCAAACGGTAATGACAGTAAAATTTTAATCTTTACACATTTGCTGACTGTTTATGTTCCTGAAATCATAATCATTACTTTACTAAATGCTCTGAGCATGATTTTATCCTGACTATTAGACCTGATTAGGGTTTCGGATTTATTTTCTTGCACTTTTGGCATATTGTCCTGACATTTTAACGGTTTTCCAAAGCTTTTAAACAAATTCAGATGTTTCAGTCATGCCAGCATTCTGCTCATATTAAATTAAAATTTAATAGCCTATGACACAGGATTGTAGACATTAATTGTTCAGCCCTGTGTTCTCTGACCTCACCAGTGATCTACTCATGTCAGCAGCTCTGTAAGATAGGCTGCTTTGTAGCTGAAAAGCATCTGAAGTGATTCCAGGGTGATCTACAGCAGTTTAATAACGCCCTGGAGCAAGAGCAGACCACACCCATATATCTTTTTCCCCCCTAAAAGCAACCCATCCGTATGGACGCATTGTACAGTGGGTGGCTGCTGGCGAGCCTCTGAGACGGACATATGTAGCTATTTCCTCAAAAACAAGCCCATGTATCATCGCCTGAGCAGAAACTTTGGCCTAACCTAAAATCTAAGATATCAGTTGGTGCACATGTTTGACTTGCAGCCATGCAGCTGGTCGAGGCCACATGCAGACCAGATGTCACACAACAGGCCCCTTCCACCCTGAAGGCCCTCAGCCATTGGCTCTGTGGACTTTCCCGTTGGCCAGGATACATCCTCGCTGCTTGGACAAACTAACAATAGGCCGTCCTTGCATTGTGTGTGTGTGTGTGTGTGTGTGTGTGTGTGTATGTGTGTTTATGCATGTATGTGGTTTTCTGCTTTCCACCATCTTTGTGTGTGCATCTTCAAAAACAAACGAATCCATACAACAAACAACTAACTACAAAACATTCATGCATGTGCGTGTAGGAGTGCACGCATGCAGGAATGAGTGTGTTGCTGCATATTTGCGTGTGTGTGTGCGTGCACATATATATATCCTTGTTCATTTCCAATTACTGTCTTCCTCAGTGTTGGTCTGTGTGCTCTGTGGTCTCCTCTCCTGGCTGCTGTTCATAAAGAGAACTGTTGGAGGTTACTGGGCTTTCCCCATTCACCACCAGAATACATAACACACCACTGACCTCCTTCCTGTGTGTGTGTATTTGTCTTCATCCCATTTACCTTAAGTACATAACTTGCCACAACAAAACACTGTCTACTATAGTAAGTGTACAAGTGTGTCAAACAAAAGAAGAAATCATTCGAAAGAGTGTTATTTTCAGTGTATGTGTGTGTGTGTTTGTGTGTGTGTGTGCACACGTGAGGTTGTGCATCTTTCATTTGTTACAAAATACCACAGAAACCTTTTCATCAAAAAGGTGTGGGAGAGACACCATCTGCCATATTGATCTTATCTGCTGTTCATGTAGATGTGTAACTATATTCGTGTGTTCTCCCCTCATGATTTATGACACTATACATATTTGCCCATATATTTACAGTGCATCAGCCTGAAATGATGCAAAACATGAAGAAGAAAAAAAATGTGTGGGTTCACTTTGAATCCTTCCATTTCTGTTTCCTTTTGCAATGGAGGTCATTGCAAAAGAAAAAGTAAAAATAGATGAATGGGTTTCACACACCATAATAGAAACCCAAGCTTCAAGCAGCCCGGCGAGCGCAGCGGTTTTCCCGGCAAAACCTATCGACCTCTGAGCACAACATTTGGTAGAAGGCTTTCAGGGTACCGCCACTTGCTGTGCAGTACCCTGACTGCATGTGTTTGTTTGTAGTATGGGTGGCCCCAGCGGGACTCAAACCCATAATCATAGTCTCGCTCTTCAAATTAAGAGGCGTATGTACACACTATTAACCCGTGAGACCACATCCAATCAATTCAGAAACATCAGGAGGGTGGAGTGCACTGAGGGTCCGACAGAGGGTCACCTGGGTTTTAGTTCGAGTCAGGATGAGTTTACTGGCTGAACTGGAGCCTCCTCTGTCATCAGAGCCAATGAGCCTGTGCACATGTGGAAGGGGTCAGGTTCGTACTGTTTTTCAAACCCTTCGTACAGCACAGTACTTTGGCAGACTATATATATATTAAAGGAAAAGAGTAAGAACAGTAATGTATGTTGAAAAAAATCAAAGCACAAAGGACATATACGTGCTCATGGATGTTTATGATAATAAATCAGATAAATCCCTTTCAAACGATTAAAAACATATTATATTATATGTCCGGTACAACCTTTGCTGCTTCTCATTCATTCTTTTATTTTTTCTGATTTCATGCGCCATTAAACCCGTGCAACAAAATAAATGAGGCTCACTGCTAAAATAATAATGAAAAAAAATAGAGGTCATCACTGGTGAGGCATGTGAGCTCACACTGAATACCATTGTAGTCTGGAATCAATTAGCTTCTACTTTCTACACCTCGCTTTGAGGAGGATATTCAACAGACATGACCCATTTCTAGTGGCTTTTACTTGAATAATGTCCGATAAACACACTGGGTGACTGAGTCAAACTTAAGTCAATCTAGATTTTAAATCTAAGATTATATGACATACACATAAACATTTTTCCACTGACAAACCTGGGAAATGTTTAATTTCTTTCATTAACTGCTCATGTCAAACTCTTGTGAAACAGCCAGCACATTAGCCTTCTGCTACAGAAGACGAGACAAACTGTCAACTTTTTAAGAATGAACTAATTGGGAAGATATCCTTTGGCGTGCAAGAGTTCATCTATCAGCAGCTAAAAGAGATATTGAACTTTTCACCCTCCTTGTCGCCTTAGAAGCTGCCATCTGACGACATCACGGACGACCACTGGAAACCCAAATTACACAGCAGCTAGGGGCCACTGACAGCCATAATTATACTGTTAGCATCATCAGAGCAGAGCTCAGCGAGAGTCATATCCTACATGGAGCACAGCCAGCTGAGAGGAAAGGATGGATGAAAGTATGAAGGTAATGATACAGTCTTACCTTCCCTAAGCAACTGCCGTGAAGAGTCCCTTGAGCAAGACACAGCAGCTGTTATGTAAATGATTGTAACTGATGAGAGCAGGATGTGAAACAGCTTGTTGGAAAAAGCGGGATCACTCAGTCGCCATTTCCCAGACAAATAATGGTTCAAATAAAAACACTACATATTTACACTGGTCAAATCATCTTCATCTTCATCTGATATACTTTTCTTATGTCAACAATGCCAGTAAATCCCATTTGAGGTACAACTTGTGTTTATGCAGGGCGAAGACAATTTTTTTTTTTTTTACTAGTTCTTTAAGAAAAAACATGTCATTTAACAGATGTTATCCTCTTGAATGAAACAAACAGCAAAAGTGTACTCCAGTCTGTAAGTGTGGGGATACACAAGGCCATGCTGTATCGGGGAGATGGATTACGCTTCCCACAACAGGCAGCACACACGAGACACAGTGAGAACTCCAGTTAGAAGGGCGCTAGCCTTTTCTTTGACGGCTGCTTCCACACTCTGTGTTTATCTATAGAAACATACTTTGACCAAAACATTTAATATGGTTTTGATTGCAATAATTCCTTAAATAATGCCAGTCCTTTGGCTTAGGAGGGGTTTTGCTTTTCTATGTCCTGTAAGTTGTCAAAAATAACATAATAATGATAATCTGCAGTAATGTGTTATGACGGCTTTGTATTTTGGTGACACAGGCTCAACTGCATTTGAGCGCTGCATGACAGATGGACTGTAGTGGCATAAGTACAGAGTTCAGACACCTGACAAAAATAGTCTCAAAAATGATCACACATGCTTTCCATATGAGCTCGTAAAGATAGCAGCGTCTACAGATAAGGGGTGATATGTGCTCATTCATTTTACACATCTGTGAAAACATATTGAATTAATTAATAAATATAAGTTAGAGCTAAATGTGTTCAAAAAAGCAGTGGACATGTAACTGGATGACAGTGTCTTATCTTTGACAAATATATTTTGATTTGTTCTTATGTGATACAAAAGGTAAATAGATAAATATGACACAATCAGTTAGGGCAGGAAAAGAAAAGTAAAAAAAACTACTGAATGTAATTCAGTAAATCACAATTACGTTTTGAAATAGAAAAACATGCCCTCCCTCCTGTTTGGCAGTGGAAGCTTTGAAAAATGCATCCAGAGGAAATTAGCCAGAGTATTTAGCTAACTTCCAGCAGACGGGGGTTGAGGCTCAGGGGTTACACTGAATGTGCAGCACAGTGAAATTCAAAGAAAGAGGAGAATCAGAGTTTGGCTTGCCTGAGGTCAGCTTTAAATTCGTGGCATGAGGAGAAGAGCCATGGCACAAAGGGACCAAACCACACTACACCAGCTCATCCACCAGGCACATGGCTTCAGTTAACTGTTGAACGCAGGTGGTCTGAGGGGGGATTCCAACTGTGCATGTGTGTGAGTGCGTGTGTGTGTGCATGTGTGTGTGCGTTCATATGAATATGGACTATGATCTGTTTTCGGTCATACACAGACAGAGAGACTCTTGCTATATCATCAGACATCTATCATTAAACGGTTATTGAAAATTCAAAGCTATTTCAATAATGCAGTGTTATATTACATATATATATGTTCAATAATGCACTCCACACACTCCTCCCATTATCTATATAACAGTGCTTCTGATTTTGAATTTGCTGCTAAATTGATCAATGATCTTAATGATTAAACTGAACTGAGTCTGAATTTATGTGCGTGATCAATACGAAACATGACCTGAAAATTTAAAACATTTTAATGCTGTTTGGTCATTTAACTAACCCCAGACAGTATATTTCAAACAAAGCTGAATTTGCAAAAACATTTTTCAATTCTATTTTCTGATGAATAATCAATATGTCATGTCAATTAGAGATGAAATGTTGATTAATTGGCCTTAATGAGAAGTGTTCTCTGGCTCAAGCTTCTTAATTGTGATATTTTCTCATTCTCTTTGTTTTCTAAGACATTAAACTCAATATCTTTCGTTTCTGGGCTGTTGGTCGGACAAAACAAGAACCCCGAATATGTCCACTTGGGCTTTTTTTTAATTTTTATTATTTCCTGACATTTTATAAACCAAATGATTATTCACTTACTAGAGAAAATAATCATAGGTTGCAGTCCTAATGTCGATTTTCAAAAGAAGAAAGATTTTTTAGTTCTCCTCCTTTTGTCCAGAAACTCAGACCAGCAACTCTTGAAACAAATATAGAAAAATCATCCAGTGTCATATGAGTCCAATCGGTAGAGGAATGTAACTCAAGTTCTGGACTTAAGTATATTTTATGATGCTCCATTACACTTCAGAGGGAACTAAATACCAGTTACTTTACAGATTAAGAGAAAAAAAAAAGAAAACGTGATAAAATCATAAAATACAATGTAATGTTTAAGATTAAAGCAGTGGTTTCAAATCTGTTTGGTTTGTGACCCCTGACAAAAAAGGCAGTGTCTATCTGGGGCTTTTGGTCACATTTAAGATGCCTAGCAGTTGTTAGCAATTCCACCTTAAACTTTTTGGGTGGTTTCAGTTTGAAGCCCAAAGATATAAAATTATCCAATATTTAAAAAAAAGCAAATATCCAAAAATGAATAAAAGTTTGTGCAACTTTTCATCTTTGCTACGCCATGAATCATCTCCAAAACCCTTCAGATTTATCTTGTGACTCTCTGCAGAGGCACAAACCCCCTGGTTGGGAACCCCTGGACAAAACTAAACTTAAAAACTTCAATAAACCCATTTACTTCAGTAAGATTTTAAATGCATTTAGTTTTACTTATGATGGAGTGTTTTTACAGCATGTATTGAAACTTTTAAAGTGAATGATCTTGATATGGGTATGGAAAAAAATAAAATAAAACAGTAGCTGCATTTATTTGGAATAGTTTAGAGATTTAAACAGGAAGATTTATATTTTCTGGCTGTCAAGATTTTAAGCAAAATAAATCAAACTCCCCTCATGCTCTTGCATATCTAGTGTCAGATAAACGTTCATCAGAGACATTTGCATCACATCAGTTATGCTGTTTTTAATATGACATAAAACAAAGATGAAGGCCTGTGTGCGACCATGACACTAATACAACAGTTGTATCTCTTTTGCCTACTCTCTTTCTGCTCTTTGTGTCTCTTAATCACACAAACACATCCCCGCCCACACACACACACACATCCCCGCCCACACACACACACACACACACACACACACACACATCTGCTATCAATACTGTTGAATGAAAAGGGGAAGTTAGGTGTGCGGAAGTAGCTTCCAGTGGTAATCGTTGCTTTCTGAATAAACGTTTGTACTTGTTTGTTTAAAACATGTTGATCCTGTACCTTTACACACCCTCTGTATGTACCCTCACTTCCTCACCCTTTCTCCAGTGTTTGTCTACAAAAAAAAAAAATGAAAAGAAAGAAAGAAAGAAAAGAAAAGAAATCATGTCGAGTCTGGCCAAGCGACCTCTCCGTAGCTTTGCCTATCTGCGTGTGAACCTGGTGCTAGGTTTGGGGAAGTTGGCAGCTGATGCCAACGGCCACAACAGAGAGTAAAGGAGAGGAGACATAAAGATAAAGACTGCCCCGATAAGAGATAGTACATACCTCGCTTTTCCACCACACATAACGTGAAATATGTCAACAAAAACCCAAACAAAAATCAGCCTGGTATCACCAAATGGCATATGAATAAGTTTCCCAGGTCATTTCGCATGTTATCGCTATGCATATGTAGCTTTTCATGTGTCACTTCACATCATATAATTTTTCTACTGAGTCCTAGCCCAAACCCATCACTTAAAAGACCAAAATAACACGTGAAAAGATTGAACCGCATGCGAAATATTCTTAAAAGTGGCGTACTATTTATATTCCATCCCATGATGTCATGCAGGTTTTCAGCAGACAGGACAACCACATGTTTCAGGAGGATGCAGGCGAACAGGAAGAGCACACAGGTGTATGAGGTGCATTTTCCACAGTGACCTGTAGACAAAACAATGTTTTGGACACAAAATTGTCCCTTTAATATAGACTTACTTACAGACTGACTGAGCGGCTGGGTGTTTGACGAGTAGAAAAACAGACGCAAAAGGTTTGGGAGACCCAGAGCTGTGCAGATGGACTTATTGGCTAGATGTTGACAGTCGGGACTGACTGACTGGTTGGACGACTGACTCACTAGTTGGCGAAATAGATGCTTGTGCGGTGAGCCAAATAACTGTCTGACTAACTGAATGAAGGATAAACATAAGCGCACTACGTCAGAACACAACTGTAACAACAAAATATTTGCCTATTTTAGGTCAATGGAAGAGTACAGACAGAGGAAATCCTCTGCATGGATGGTGACATATTAAATGATGGAAGAAAGCACATGTCAACACACACATTCAGTTATATTTCACCGCCTTCTACACCTACTTAAAACAACACATGTTAACTGACCATGCACTGCACAAAATCTCTGTCTCACACACACACACATGCACATACACATACACACACGCACACGCACAGGCACACACGGGTACGGGCAAACAAACATGTAGCCCACAAAGCTAGATAGTGGGTCCAGTGTTGTTGCATAGCTATCGCGTACAATCTCTTTCTGCCCTGATACACATCTGTACGTGAACATATGCAAAACCCACAAAGGCCCCAACACAGCCCAACATGCAAAACACACAAAATGAAATAACTGCTCTGTGCCCCAGAGGCACACATTTAAAAACCGCCTGAGAGGCGTTGTAGAGCGAATTAGTGTGAAGACGGACCTACAGTGAACACCACCTACTGGCAACAAACCGCATGTCTCTATTTTGACAGTGTAAAGTTTCATTCATTTCAAACATGCTATAGGAAATGTGACCCAAAGTAAACTTCCATTCATTGATTTGAATCATAGATCTTGTTTGTTGGTCCCTTTTGTGGGCGCTGAGTGAATAAGAAGGTGGGCAGAGCTTCAGCTCCATTCATCATCAAAGGCAAACAACCTCCATTATAAACAAAGTATGATTTATTTCAAAGACTGAATTTTCCTTTAAAAGATCTCACAATCATTTAGCACTAGGAAACATACTACATTTGATACTCGCTGTCATTAGTGCTATAAACCCACAGAAGCTGGACACAAACACCACAAAACATTGTATTATCTCATGCAACAGCTACACAAATTACATCTTCAGTGGTTAAAGTTGAAACAGCTTCAACATAAACTAAATATTACCTGCACAAGCTTGTGTTGCAGGGCTGCTATATGAAACTGTATTACATTGTCAGGTGTTATTTTGTCCACACCCTCTGCCTAGTAAATATTCATGTCAGCCCTCACAAACTAGGTTTAGGTGCATTTGCCCTCCGTTCCCTGCTGGTATTTCACAGCAAGAAAATCAACCCCAGTGAGGGAGGTGTCATGATCCCAGTGTCATGCAAATATACTACACAAATACTGTAGCCTGATATAGTGGAGGGATTTTATTTTTAGCTTTTAGATGAGTCACACATGCATGCCATGTAAAACAGGTATAATGTATAAGGAAAACGGTCTGAGTATGTACTCAAGTAGCCTGATGCTCGCAATGGTATAAACCTGTAAGAGATCGTTTCCTAAAAACCAGTGATGGAGAAAACAAGCTGCCACCAAAACATCTGATAACTGGCTGTTATGCACACTGATTATTATCATTATGGTTATTATCATTGTCCCCCTGTGAGAAATTAGTCATCATCAAACTACCTGCACAGGCTGTACAGACGGAGACATGCCATGCGAATACTTTGCTTTTTCTGTCTTATTCTCTACTGTGAATAAATCTGAACTAAGGCGATTGCCCGTAGCTACCAAAACTGACTCAACACGCGTGTGTGTAGAGCAATAATAATCCACGTCTCGCAAGAATCCCACCGAAAGAAATAACTTAAAAGTATGAAATGTGAGTCCTTCAGTAAGTAAGTGTCAGATCAGATCAGCGAAGCATGTAGAAGAGCAGCAGACAGATACTCTGGTTACTCACCACTATCAGTTTCATGGCGGGGTTGGATTTCACAATCCGAGCGCTCATCTCCTCTGCGTAAAAGTGAACTGCGGTGTGATTGGGGTCTCCATCACAGATCGGTACTTATACGGTACACAGAGAGAGAGGGAGAGAGGGAGAGAAAGGGAGAGAGAGAGAGAGAGAGAGAGAGAGAGAGAGAGAGCATGTGCCCACCCACCTAGCTGTTATCCAGTGCACAGCCCTCTCTCTGTCTGCCCATGTTTCTCCCTCGCCCTTCAGTCCTAAAAATAAACCGTTGCATCCTCAGGAGTTGCGTTGTTGCGATGATTACGCGAAGTAGTGAATGGTGTGGGCAACATGCAGAGGAAACAAAGCAGGGTCTGAAAAACAGCATCCAGTGAGCAGATCAGATGAGAGGGGGACCCATTCATGGATTCAATCAGATGAAATCTACTTTTTACACTACACAAATATTTCCCAAAAGATCCCTAAATACAGCACATGGAAGACAGGAAGACAGGGCCTGGGGATAAAACATCAGTCTCAAGTGTCAAGTTGTTTGTTTGTTTGTAGAGTAAATAAAATAGAGACATATTCCTGACAACTGGAGCACTGAAGAATAATACAGTGCTGAAGTCCAATGTAACCATTTCCATATTTAAATTCAGTGTGAACAAGTGGTTTTTATATGACAGCCGGTCTGTATTACACCTAATGTGTCAAAGTAAAAAAAGAAAAAAAAGAAAAAAAGAAAAAAAGGTAGTGTGAATAAAGAAAGGCTTTCCAGGATAAATGTTTTGACTCCTGCTTTGACATCACATAAATACAGTGATTGACAGCTGTTTATTTGGACCAGCCAAAGTCATTTCATAAGATGGGTTCTGCTTATTTGAACACGCGCCGAGGGAAACTTGGAAATGTTGTGTCAGTGTGGATGGACAACAGTGTCCATGTGCAGAGAGGAACTGATTCAGCTTGGAGCTCTAAGCATCAAAGACCAAAATATAGTGAAACTGAACATTCACGCTTCTCTACCATGCTGGTTCACAGAGCTTAAAGGAAGTTGCATCCTTGAGTTACACTGAGTTTAATAAGTTTTTCTGTGCTGACAACATATTTGAGCATTTTCCATAAAGTCTATTTTCAGGTGTTTGGTCCATAAACTCCAGCCAAAAATTCTACTGCATCTATTATAATTATGCAGCCATCAAATGATTTCACTTGCCATTTTTCATAACCCTTTAATCATTCATTCAGGGAAGCTGCACCGAGTGCTGAGCGACTTTGTTGCAGGAACACACGGACACAGTTACACACATTCACATCTGGAAGCTGCCCCGTCTCCACTGTTCCCCAAACCAGGGTTAGTCCCACGCTGCCGTGTTGTCCACTGGACTCATGTAGGGAAATTCATTTTGATTGGAGAACTTATCCTCAATACACTACAGTGTTTTATTCTTTTTTACAACATACTCCAAAGGTTTGAGACGACTCTGAGAATAGAACATGACCAGATGTTTCAGATACTGAATCTTACTGTGAATGTTTCTGTGCAATAAAGAAACTGAGTGTATCAGGGTGTCAGAGCCATTTGATTGTAATATTCTATATGAGACAATTCATTACTTTTAATGTAATGTGTATATGTTAATAAACTGCATACAGTTGTTCTTCAGATCTAGAGGGGAAAGAATATTTATTGTGAACAGGAGATGTGGTTGAAAGCTCCTGAAAGATCTTTAAAAAAAAAACAAAAAAAAAACAATTGTTCACTCTGCAGTCATTTGAATGTCAGTCTGACAAAACCACTCTGGGTATAGACAATTTAGTCAAAAGAACATTTTCCATTTTCTGAAAGAAAAAACACACACTGATTTAATGTATACTAAAGTCCAATGATAGATGGATATCAATGGGCCAATCCAGCAACATATATCAGTAATATTTCAGGTTTGAAACTTGTTCAAACCTCAGCCTTCTTCTTCAGCAGCGGTCCGTTTATTATCCTAATTATAAGCATTTAAAAATTTTTTTAAAAAGAGATTTACCTTCATCAAGCTGAAGCAGGAACTCCCACATAGAGGTCAAAATGCATAATAGATACCAGACAACTCACGTAGTAAACCCAAAAGGGCGCTCCCACACTGTGATGTGAATGCATGATGCTTATACAAGACCCTGACACCCAAAGGTCGGAAAAACAAATCTACTTTTCCATCTGTCTCTTTGTAGCTGCGCACTGTCCAGCCTGAACAGAGGCATGACAAAATGTCACAGTCCGCTGACGTAGAAGCACAAAGTCTCAACGTAATCGGAGAAAATACACACTCACCCACCAACAAGTCTCCGAGGGAAATCTTAGTGATGAGGTCACAGCTCACCACAGGATGACTGAACACACACACACACACACACACACAGGCATAAATACAAAAGCACAGAGAAATACTCACACACACACACACATATTTTTCAGCATCGAGGTCAGGGTGCACCGCAACAATGGTGGGACGGAAACTGGACGTCTGAAAACACACACTCAAGCAGTTACTTACACACACACACACACACACACACACACACACAAAAACACATTTACAACAGGCCTTCCTGACGTGTTAGTTGGCGATGAGGTCTGTAGTGTACGGGCAGGGTAAACGTGGGTGTTACGAGGTGAACCAGATGCAACTGACCGTTCCACACACACACACACACACACTCACACAAATACACAACTACACACACACAGGCTGGCATTTAAATCAAAATAAAGCTACTTGCTGACTTGCCTCATATCCATAAATTGTTGGTTTGGCCTGTTGACAATTGTGCTACTTTCTAATTTAGTCGCTCAGAGTGTATTTAAGTTCAGTCCCCTCAGACTAAACACAATGCCCCACTGATTACATGGATTTGGACTGGTCATGGTTAGGTGACTCCAAAGGTAAGGTGCGATAAATAATTCCTGATTCCTGAGGTTACTTCTTTGTGATACTTTTGCCATCTTGTTTGCATGCTATAGGCAAATAGTAGATCACTGTCATTGCCAATTATTGTTCAGATCCTTTGTAACTTGTGTGTGTGTGTATGTAGTGTTGTGTGGTTGCATGGTAGCCAGTGTTGTGTGTGAATGTATTACCTCTGTGTGTATGTGTGTGTGGGGGGTTGATTAGTAACGTGTCCATCCGAGTCCCTCTCATTTACATAACAGATCTCAAAAAACGAATGACTGGAAAAGGGAACTGATAACCGTTGCTGTTTGATTGTGACCTGAGACAGTCAAAAGTGAGAGACGTAGAGATAACTTTTTCAATTTGTGCAACAAAGGCTTTTACCCATGCAAATAAGGTATATTTGTGCGTAAACGTCAGAGAGAGAGAGAAAGGGACAAAGCAGAACAAGAGGAATTAACAGTAGGGATACTATCAGCTGCAAAAATTGTGCAATGCACTCCAGTTGATCATTATTATGGCAGCAACTCAAAAGTAAAAGATTTTAAGAAGGTTTTGTTGCCATTCTCCATGGTCCTCTGACCAGATCTGGTTGTATTTGGTTCTGAAAGAGTTTTGGCCAAAATGCATCTCCAAGTGCTGATGTGGCAAAGACCTTCATTTGCATTCAGTCTTTGGTGAATTGTACATGTCTGACATGCCTGTGGTAGTAACTTTTACAGACCAGTTAATGGTCACTGTTGCTGCTAAGTCTGAACCTTTTTGGTGCAGATTTCACATTTCTGTTGTGTCCAAAATGCTTGTGGAAGCAAAACTGTAGACAATAGAAGCTTCAATTCACATTTAATTGTTTCTTAATCGAGTACAACGCTCCATTCGATTTGAAGTTATCTTTTTATTCTTTACAGTTTGCTTGTACCTATTGTATGTTTGTTCAAAGAAACCTTCTCTGTCACTCTGCTTGAGTCTTTGCCATCCTCTTTGGTAAAGCTTTTTTTGTGTGTTTTTATAGTTTTTTTTTTTGTCAATATGAAGAGTTTAAGGACCAAAGGTGTTGTATGTGCTTCATATTTCAGAGCACTCTGAGACTATGTCGACATTAAAGGCGACTAAATTTAACAAAAAGCATGTGTAACATGTGAAAGCAATTTATTTGAATATTTTCTGGTTGTTTTTCAATAAACCTGTCCACAGTGACATAAACAGATCTCTTCTTCTTCTTTGTCTTCTTTTCAGTTGGTAAACAACAAAACTGTATCATATCCAACATCTGGCAAGGAGCTGAATAAATAAGTATTAAGCGTCTGATTAAATCAGTATAAATACAGGTTTATGACAACAGCTGTGTGTTGTGATCGGCTATATTGGCTATAATAAATATTTAATGTTTGTGGCAACTATGGAACAGCTGGGTTTAGACATGCAACAGATGTTATCTGAAAAAATAACACTTGTTTTATTTAAGGTCAGTTTAGTTCTGCTATAAGTCAGTGGGGTAAGGTGACCTTAGTGCAAAAGGTTTTCAAGAAACCCAGGCCACACCACTTTAATCTGTGTTGTTGTTACAGACACAGAAGAAGCATGTTGCCTTGTTAAGGTTCTTGACCTTCTCATATTCTCCTCTCTGCCTTCCTGCGGTCCACCTCAGAGTTCTTGTTTCAGGATATTTTATATCTCTCACTGCCCGGGCCCCTAAGATGGAAATCACAGTGGACAAGCCTTTATTTTACTAACTGATGAAAAAAACAGGATACTGTAGCTGAAATCAATGTGGGGCAAAGATAGCTAGAGAAAGTGGGGATGCATGGAGGAGGAAGGCAGATTAGAGTGAATGGGGAAAAAGAGAGGGAGAATGCTGTAGGAGTGTATCTAATGAAGACCTGTGAGCAACACATTGAGAGAGTGTGAAGAGGGAAAGGGAAGCAGTAGCAGAGAGAAACAGCGAGACCAGCATGAAAAAAGGATAGGGGTTCCAGCGAACCTTGTGCCCAGCGTTGGAAGTCTTGCCAGGGAAAGCAATGAGTCACTTGTGACCTTGAGAGAAAAAATAACAGCAGAGGGATCCCTGGACTTCCACGGCAGCTGATGTGGTCACCTTGTTTTCTCTGGTGAGGTTTCTGAAAATGATTTAAAGGAAACTCTTCAG